ATGTGTGTGTGTTTGAGTTTGTTATTGATATTTTATTAGAATTCATGGAACTTAGCTGGATGATGTGATATTGTTTTGTTGTAGATTTTCTCCGAAATATAGCTTCCACTAGAAAATTGATGGGATACGACCCGCGATAAAATTGATTTTGTGACAGAAATGATACTATATATATCCAAAATGTTTCCAAAACTCAGAAGACACATATTACACTCCCAAGAAACTTTGTTGATATTTTTCTGATAATTGCTTAATTCCCTTTAAAACAATAGCACTGGTTTTATTGTCCTAAAAAAAGGTAGCCCGTCATGGCGTCATATACGCGCGGGATAAGGGAAGAGGTCAGACCACTTTAGATTTATTGTATAATTAACTAAAAAACACATTTAGAAATAATAGACACAGGATTTTTTTTTTTAGGAATCATTTACATATAACCATTATATTGAAAATCTTTCCAAAAGAAGGGAGACGTTACTCTCGAAACCGCCACCGGGGAAAAAAACATATAATCTGTTGTTGGGGGAAATGCGTTACAACGAAGCGAGCATTCACGTTTTGGCAACATGAACGTCCAGATTGAACAGCAACATGAACGCCATGAAACTGCAAAAGTACCAGGCATCAACTCAATAAACGCATCGTAGAACTAAGTATCCCAAATTCAGTTGTAGAATTTGACAAGTGCGAAAGATTCGTCGATCTTATACTATTATGGAAAGCAGATACCACAAAGTGTGCAAAGTTACGTATGGACGAAGGAGAACTGCGAAGACAGTTATTCAGTCAGCGATAACGACCCTGTCAGTATTGAGCTTTAAGATACTCATTTCTCCTATCATTGGAGGGTAAAAGAGTCGAGGAAAGTTAACCCAGGGGGTTCATTGCAACAGCGAAACTACAGGGACAGTAGGTTCAAACCAGCTATGCTAAAGGGGTTCAATGAGCAATTAGTCCTACAAATAAAGTTGCAAGTTGTCAAGGCTATGAGATTTCCTGAAAAAACAGCTAATGATTTCAGATCCTCGCCTCCTAAGCAGTTGTCGTCGGTGTGCAAAAATTCGTCGGTGTGCAAACTGTCTGTAACTTATTCTAAGTTGGTCAAGTACCAAATGCAGTAATCAGCTGGATATATCGATGTTTGGGAATCAGTTACTTCTAAGCAAGAATTGCAGGAATTTCCAAAAGTTTGAAAACTCTTACTACTCTTAGCTAAAGAATTTAATCTTTAGCTAGTTCTGTTTTTTAACTCCTAAAAGCAAGAATAATTATCAGAGTGTTGCAGGAGCGAACTAACTGGTTTCAGGCTATTTACTGCATATATACTTCGGTGAAGGAGATGCATGCATGCTGGGCGAGGTGAATATTAATGACAAACATGGAGCTGTGCACTTGGATGCCTATACACAACATACATTCATCATGTCAAGCTTAGCTAAGTAAAGATGTTCAACATCGATTCCATTCACCACAAGCCCTTGATACTCCCCATATAACTGAGAATTAACAGTAACTTGATATTGATTTCAAAGGGGGAAAAAAAAGAAACAATACGTACAAGAAGATACCAGGACGTCATATGTGTTGACTGTAGGAAATAAAATAAGGTAAGAAACATAAAAAGAAGATGATAAATAATTAATGGAATTTTCAAAATATGCAATCATATTCAATGAATAAGTGGGATTACATAATACAGGAAATATGGAGATTACGTGGAGAAAAAAGATATCATGGCACAGTTAAAATGGGATCAATATGGTTTTCCTCGTCGAAAGTATAATCATTTTCCTTATTACTGTTAATTTGAATTGATCACATGTTAACTTAAAAAATGAATAAAATAGACAAAAGCTTTATCATTATTTGGGCAGTAAAATTCCCAAGCTCTGGCTCCATGAACTTAAACCATCAGGGAGGAAAACTAAAGATATAAAAAATTAAATAGATAAACAGGCCAATAACAAACAAGATCAAAGGATAGAGCATACCTTCCTTTGCGATCAAACTCTGAGCCTTTGTTTTTGCATTGTGCTTATTTTAGGAGTATCATAGACAGTGTAGATTCCTCGCGCAAAAAATTGTACTCATGCATTTGTTAACCAGCAGATAAGAATTAAGACTTCCCTAATGGACCTCATATCGCCAATTTATATTTCCCCACCGCTTATAAACATTGTCGAGTAATTATTTTCAATCTAATACACTAAATTTCTTGGCACCACAAATTTTAGACAAGTTGGAGCATGAATGTAGATAATTAGGTTCCAATTGTACATCCATGAGCATTCAGCATAAGGAGTTTTGATATCATCTCAAACAATTTAAGTAACCCTCGAAAAAGGCAATCCATGAATAGCTAAAAAGGTTGAATACTGTGAAATTCTTGCTTTAAGTCTTTGCAATAAATCTTTTTATGTAATCCCTTGTACTTCTCCACATATACTACTTGAAGGCGCAAGCTGGGAAATTCGTTCACTGCATGAAACCATTAATGCTATGTGTAATAAATTTGTAAAAACAACCTTAAAGAAATCATTAACACATTCATGCGACGAGGGAGAGAGAGGGTCTGGAGGTGTTACAATAAAGTTGTATGTCCACTACCATAACATGAATCTTTGTGAAGGTGAAGTAGAACTCAAATTAAAATATCTCTGCAGGAAGTAAAGCATCAAAGATAAGAGAGAACAGAAAAACCACAAGATTGATCTAAGTGGCTGAAGATATTCTATTGACAAAGTGTCATCCAATCTTAAAGCATTACTTACCATGGTTATGTGGATAATATCTGATCCAGTAGGGTGTATTGAAATACCTCCCACAGCTAGAAAAATATGGATGACCAAATGCTGAGAAATTGTTATAATTGTTGATGAAATCTTCAGAGAAATGAAAGATCCAAATTGTACATTTCTTTCCTATCTTTCTTCCCATCTTATTCATCGAATCTGCCTCTTTGGGGGATTGATTTAACTTCAAACTGCACTGGATTCATTGTCATCATCTTCTATGACATTTCCCAATGATAATGACTCCAGCTACGGAGCAAAAGCTCCGCGTAAGAAATAACCAAAGTTATATTACAGGTTTAGCAAGCACAAGTCTAAACTTGATAGGTTGGTGACCAATTTGCTGGACATTTTACTTAATAAGATATAAGGTTTCTAACCACCAAACAATTTAGGAAAGTTCTTCGGACTTTGATGAGCATTTTACTATCGGAAAACAACATGATAGAAACAGGACTCTCGAAACAAGTAAACAAGCAGCATTTCCCTCCTCCCTGTAAAAATTTGTCACTTTGATTTTTGTTACCAGAGTAATGCATTCAGCTGAATGTTCCCATTATCTTGGCTAAGCAAGCTTGTAACAAGAACTGTGAATAGGAGAAGTTACTTGAATAGGTAAATTACATGAAAACTGCATCCATTATGTTAAAAATAAAGATATGATGATTTCATGTCATACACAGAAATTAACACGCGCAATCTCTACTTCATTGACACATTATTATAATAGTAAACTAATACATTAAACTTTTACAAATAGTAAATTGATTATAATAATAATAAGGATTGAAATACAAGTAAAGAGAAATATTTGATTTCGCTCCATTGAGCCTTGGTTTATATAGTTCCTAGGATCAAGAGAAGTAAAACGGAGACCTGATTTGGCAAAAATTGATAGCAAAACAAAAACAACTTACACAAAAAGAGAAGAACTGGGAAAAAGATAACGCAAATATCTTTTACGAATTCCCTCACAGATCATAACAAGACTGAATAAATGTCAAGCAAAAAGCAACCCAAGGTTTTTGTCTCAAATCAATCTAAATCGTGAGAATTTAGATCACATTTTGCTACAAAAGATCAATCAAAAAAAATTCACACTTACCTTATTTACTACAACGAAGGGACAAAAAGATGCATATGATAAATGATCTCAGATATCATGCAACAATTTACATTTGGTAACAGAGCAATAATGTTGACAATTTTTAACACGATTAGAAGCCAAAGCAACAAGAATCTTATTGATCAAGTATTATTTTTACAATCTACTATCATTTCACTCGGTAACAATCTACAACAAAGTTTTTTTTTTTTTCAAATCAGGATGAGCAATGGTTCAAGAACTCACTTGAAACCCGATAACAACGGCTCCATCCTCCAACCTCTTCTGTCCTCCCTCCTTCTCGCAAGCCCTAGTTCTGCAAATCGGGCAAATCGGGGTCTTCACGAGCCAATAATCAACACACTGAGCATGAAAACTATGCCTGCACGTTGGCAGTAACCTGCATTTCTCCCCATTTCTAAAGCTCTCCAAGCAAACCGCACAATCTTTTTCTCCGCCGTCGAAATCATAACAAGGGAGCTTCTCCAAATCATCAGGGGACAAACCATTGTTCCCTTCATTTTTAAGCTCCTCTCCTTGCGAAATTGTATTCAGCCCCCTTCTAAATGCTTTTCCTACAATGCAAATATGCAATAGAACCAAGACTCCAATGCCAATGAAGAGAATGATGGATGCAATGATGATGGATATCACCATCAACTGGGTTGCAATTGCCAAAAGACTGGCACCCATTTCTCCTTCTTCTTCTTCCCCCCTCAATCCCTCTTATTTTCTGGAAATTTCTTGAGAATTTTCAAAAACTATGCAAGAAATCATACCATTCAACAAACCCAACGAAACCCATGTGTAGATTTGAATTTTTTTGCAGAAAATTCATGCTATTTATGAAATTGAAGAAAACCCATCAGTCTTATTTGGGTCAAGGGAAGTGGGTTGAGAGAAAGAGGCTACCCTTTGAAAGGATATGATGAGGATGAGGAGGATATGTGAATGAATATAGACGGGTTATGAGGAAAGAGATAGAAAGATAAGGGTTTGTTGAGTTTCGGATAGAGAAAATTAAGATGGGTTATGAGGAGAGAGAGAGAAAGAGAAGGGTTTGTTCAGTTTCAGATAGAGAAAAATGATTGAAAGAAGAAGAGAATTGAGATAAAGTATACATATAATACTGCAATTTCTTTTTTGTTTTTTTTTATTTCCCCTTTTATTCTCTTTGTTAGGATTAAGTCATTAGCTACTTTTCTTCGTATGTTCCTTGGAGATCACAACATCGGTGGGTGGTTGCAATTGAAAATTGTCATTTTTGGGAGCAACCTTGATCTAATATAGTTTTCTCTGTAATGTATGTTTTCACACAAACAAACCAAAAAAAATCCATTTTTTCAAGGAAAAAATTATTTTCACCCTTCTTTAGAAATTATGACACTTTTTTTTACCATGAATTTGTTCAGCTTTTATACTCTGCTCTTTTAATCTCTTTACAATTTTATAATTGACCTACTCATTAGGGTGTGTTTGGCAAATCCTTAAAATTGTGAACTGTGATCCGGTTTTTTCTAAGCAAAAAAAAAAAAAAAAAAAACTTAACGGGTTCTTTTATTATTCACCTCTTCTTTGGATAAAAAAAAGAACAAGTTTACCTCAACACTAGACCAGGATCAATACTAACCTAGTTTCTATTCTGGATCTTATTATCTTATTTTCATTTATGGAAACAAACATGATATCTTAATAACTTATTTTTCTTCTTGCTAAACTTTCTTGTATAATAGTATTGATGTTTACATATTGGTGTTATAATTCAATTATGTTAATTTGACCTCGTGATAGCATTCTTTATGTTGTAACCTATAGTGTTAAGAAGCATTATAGTCAAATTTTACATGTAAATGTTAATCATTTTCTGAGAGCAACATAGATATAAGGGTGGAATTTGAACTTCTTTTTTTTTTTTTAGAATAAAAGAAGGATTAACTGCATTCTGTTATCCTTATATATGGTATAACTACGTGGGTGACCTTGGAATCTATGTATCTACACCGGTAATCATGATTGTAATTACATGGTGACCATATAATCTAACGGTGGCTTAATGTTAGAGGTACGATTAGAATTAGGGTTAGATATGGGATTATAACAATAAAACATAGATAGGATTACAACAATAAAACTTTATTTAGTAATTTTTGCTATAACCATAATCCTAATCCTAATAAAAACTCTTAACATTAATTCTCATGCTACCCGCTATCCCACAAGAACTCTAATTCAATAAAAAAATAGCTCAAAAAGGAAGATCATCCTCGTTTTTTGTGTTACAGTGATCTAGCGTTGACTCTGAACTCTAGTAACGTCAACCCGCATACCTACAACTAGTAATTTTAGGACTATGTATAATCATCATTGTACCAAAATGTAATTACTAAATAAGAATAAAATAAAAAAATTCATAATCATGCGAATGGCTTTTGTCCAAATAAGAAAAAGATATTGTTAATAAGTAAAGAGAAAGGAATAGTACCAAGGGTGATCTTGATAGTTAGGAGGTTCCAACATGACTCAAACGATATTGAGTTCGATTTCAGGGTGTTTTGTTATTTTTAAAAAAAAATAAAGAGGAAGAAAGAATTATAAGAAAAAGTCAACTAACTAAATTCAATTAATTAGGTTAGCATTATTCGCAACAGGGTAAATATAAGAGATAAGAAAATTGTAGGAAGGTGTCCATGGTCATTGGTCATCCATGGGCCCTCGGGGAGTCCTACCCAAAATTCACAAGTCACCGTCATCGTGATTGTCACCGTCAGGGGTATAAAAAAGTACGAGGAGTGAAAAAGGAATAAAAAAAAGGGATAATTGTGTCAATGTCCTAAAGACAAAATCTTTATGTGCTGTAGTCCATTTGGTTTTTTCTCGTGTGATTCAGCCCTTAAATTGGAGATCTATATTCTGCACCTCTCTTTTAGTAATTATTACCTGTCAACTAAGCATAGACAGAGAATAAAAAGTAAAAAAAAATCCTAAAATGTCATTATCTCCTCCATTCTTTCATGTTAAGTCTAAAAGCAAGTTGAATTAGACTTAACATGAAAGACTATTTCATGTTAAGTCTAATTACGTTCATGTTAAATCTAATTTAATTCATTTTAAGTCAAATTTAATTCTTTTTAAGTCTAATTTGAATCATGTTATGTCTAATTCAACTTATTTCAAGTCTAATTTAATTCATGATAAGTCTAATTCAACTTGTTTTAAGTCTAGTTTCATGTTAAGTCCAATTTAATTCATATTAAGTCTAATTAATTCCTTTTAAGTCTAATTCAACTTATTTTAAGTCTAATTCAACTTATTTTAAGTCTAATTTAATTGGACTTAACATGAATTTAGACTTAAAAAAAGTTGAATTAGACTTAACATGGTTTAAATTAGAGTTAAAAAGAATTTAACATGATTGAAATTAGATCTAACATGAACTGAATATAGACATAACATGAAATAAATTTAGACTTAACACGAATCAAGTTGGACTTAACATGAAATTAGACCTAACATGAACTGTTATTAAACATACCATGAACTGAATTTAGACTTAACACGAATCAAGTTGGACTTAACATGAACTGAATTTAGACTTAACACGAATCAAGTTGGACTTAACATGAACTGAAATTAGACTTAACACGAATCAAGTTGGACTTAACATGAAATTAGACTTAAAAGGAATTGAATTAGATTTAACAACAATCAAATTGGCCTTAACATGAAGTAAAATTGGACTTAATAAAATTAGACTTAAAATAAGTTGAAATAGACTTAACATGACTCATGTTAAGTCTAATTCAACTTATTTTTAGACTTAAAATAAGTTAAATTAGACATAACATGATTTAAATTAGACTTAAAAAGAATTAAATTAGACTTAATATGAATTAAATAACAAGTTGAATTAGACTTAACATGAATTAAAGTATACTTAAAATGATCTAAATTAGGCTTAGCAAGATTTAAATTAGACTTAAAACAATTTAAGTTAGACCTTAAATAATTTAAACTGGACATAACACGAACCAAACCGGAGTTAACACGAACCAAACTGGATTTAACACGAATCAAACTGGACTTAACATGAACTAAACTGGACTTAACATGAACTAAATTGGACTTAACACTAAATTGGATTAAAATTAGACTTAAAAGAAATTAAATTAGATTTATTCGGTTTATGTTAAGTCTAATTTAATTCTTTTTAAGTCTAATTTCATGTTAAGTCCAATTAAATTAGACTTAAAACAAGTTAAATTAGACATAACATGATTTCCAATTAAATTAGACTTAAAACAAGTTAAATTAGACATAACATGATTTAAATTAGACTTAAAAGAAATTAAATTAGACTTAATATGAATTAAATTATAAATTAGACATAACATGATTTAAATTAGACTTAAAAGAAATTAAATTAGACTTAATATGAATTAAATTAAACTTAACATAAAATTAGACTTAAAACAAGTTGAATTAGACTTAACATGAATTAAATTAGACTTGAAATAAGTTGAATTAGATATAACATGATTTAAATTAGACTTAAAATGAATTAAATTAGACTTAACATGAACCAAATTAGACTTAACATGAAATAGACTTTCATGTTAAGTCTAATTTGGTTCATGTTAAGTCTAATTTAATTCTAATTTAATTCGGTTCATGTTAAGTCTAATTCAAATTAGACTTAACATGAAATAGACTTTCATGTTAAGTCTAATTTGGTTCATGTTAAGTCTAATTTAATTCGGTTCATGTTAAGTCTAATTCGGTTAATGTCAAGTCTAATTATACTTGTTTTTAGACTTAACATGAAAGAATAGAGGAGATAATGACATTTTGGTATTTTTATTTTTATTATCTATTTATGCTTAGTTGACATGTAATAATTGTTAAAAGATGGCTGCAGAACATAAATCTCGAATTTAATGGCTGAACTACATGAGAAAAAGTTAAAGGGGCTGAAGCATATGAAGATTTTGCTTTTGGGGACTTGACACAATTTTTTCTAAAGGAAAAAACTCTAACAATTTTTTATTTTTAAAATACATAGTAAATTAGTGTGCACCCCGTGTAAAGCACGATCTCCATTTTTTATTTTCGATACAGTAACATTTTTTAATGCTGCAGCACCTCATCTGAGCTACAGTAATAATGCTAAAATAATATTTTTAAATACTGCATCTCCCGTATGTGCTACAGTAATAATACTACAGTAATTTATGTAGTATGAATAGTGAATCCCGGATCCTCCTCTCTGTGCTACAATAACAATGCTAGACTAATTTATCGTAGTATTTTTTTACTGTAACATGCATAGTGAATCTTAAATCCTCTCATTATTATAAAGGAATAGATTAATTAAAAAAAACTCCATCCATGTGCACATTTGGCTAAAGAGGATCTACTTGCAGAATTCTTTAGCGTTATCTTATCTAGTATTTATTTGACTTAATTACAATACACTTATACACTATAGTTTCCCTACTTTGCGCTTATATATCCTCACTTGTTTTCAATAACACTAATATACCTTAAAAATTATTAAATTTACACTTAAAATAACTCAGTTATGAAAACACCAGAATCTCCTCTAAGAATTCTTAAATGAGACTCACATGTCAATTTTAGAATTTTTAAATAGAATTTTGATAATGTTTAACAGTAAATTTATCAAAAATTATGTTTAAAATGCTCTAAAATTAACATGTGAGTGTGGCGAGAAGAAGTCCTTACTTTTTTGCATAATTAAGAATTTTTTAAATGCAAGTTTAAAAAACTTTGAAGCATAGCGTTGCCTGGAATAATTGAGGGTATATAAGTGCAAAGTAGGGGTACTACAAAGATATGTAAGTGCAATTAAACATATTTATTGGATTGTGTCATTTCTCTCTAGACAGCTCCACTATCAATAAACAAACATTTATTCAAGGGTTAATTACAGAAAACCCATCTAAACTTTGGAAGAGTTGCGCTAAACCCGAAGACTCTTTCATTTTACTAAATTTCATATAAACATTTTTCATTTAATCTTCAAATCAACACCATCAATTCTAGTATATCATGTGGCAAGTATGTACCGTGAAAAAGATAAAAA